GTAAGTAGGTTAATGATCCCTATAACCCATGTAATAACCCTAGTTATCCACGTTATTAACCTACGTATTTAAATCCCCTGACCTTCCAAGTAGGCCCTCCCCCAAGCGACATGAAAGCCCAAAAGGTGCCTTGTAAAGACTGCGGTCCTTCTGGCACCATTGGCACCCTAAACCCTAAACCCATCTGGCACCTATGTGAGCTTACATACCAGTTTGGGGGAGGGTAAAGGCCGACTTCACCACCCCCAAAAAAAAAGCCGAGCTGAGGGATTGTTTAGGGTTTAGGGTTTAGGGATTGGGGCCTAGAACTTCCCAGCCCTTATTCCCAAACATCTAAATGCCTGCTATCCTCCACCTTTCGAAGCCAAGATGGGAGCTACTTCCGGATGACTCGACCCTCAGCCCCCTTCGCCCTTCGCACCCTCAAAGCCCAGGACCAGTCACTCAAAGGCCCAGCAACCTAGCAAAGCGCACGTGTTTGACATCCGGGCACTTTTTGTCCCCAAAGCCTCAACTCTACACCCTACACCCTTTAAACTCTATAGTCCCCCTGAAGTAGATAGAATATGGCTTTGGGTATAATAGAATAAGATCCCCCTATACCCCATCTTCTATTTACTTAAGGAAATTTTACAACCCCCGCAAACCCAAATGATGCTCGGATGTTCAGAGCATGTTCGCTCATGACAGCCGCGGGCTCAATGATTTTTCCCAGGTTTGCAGTTGCATGCAGGCTCAGAGTTAAGAGTTTAGAGCTTGGATTGCTGGATCTAGGGTTAGGCTTCAGGCTTTAGGATTAGGGAGTAGGATCTCGTGAGCCACATCAAAACCGAGTTAGTGCGCATGGAAGCTGGTAGATTCACAGAAACAAGGTGATTCATGAGTGATGAAGCCTCATGCCCAAGCGACGGCGGTGCCCCAGCTCTTCGTCCGGCACCTCTAGTGTGTCAGCGCGCAGACGAGCCTAGGTTACAGGATGGATGGCAATGTTTACACACTCTTGCAAAGAGATATGCTAAGCATGATGCCGCCTCCTAACCACTTGCAGAATGTGCGTAGTTTATCTTCCGGTTCAAAGAGACCGGGAAACATAGCAAATATACAGGTAGTGCCCCTTAAGTAGATCGAACATGAGGTATATGGATCTTATCGTGACTTTGTGGGATTCAGTGTTCCATTTACTCAGGGAGGGCAGTACGTTATGTCGATATTGGAACCCTGAAGTCCTTCCTAAAGCTCCCTAAGGGTTTAAGGACCCAAATAATCGGGCTTAAGGGCCCAAATACTAATAATCTTATAGTATTTGGGCCCTAAACCCCACTATTTGGGCTCTTGGAGCCTTAGGGGCCTCAAGCCTAAGCAAGCAAGGAGCCGGAGGAGCTCCACGCGCAGCTTTCACCAAACCCACATCGAAGCCTCCTCCTGTGGACTTGGGCTTTTGGGTTGCCCCTTTGAAATCTTTTGTAACTCCGAAACGCAAAATTCCGCGCCCCTGCCCTGGCCGGCCCCAGGAGGCCAATGAGCCTTGGACAGGTCTGAGGTCTCCTTAAGAATTATCTTTTGAATTTCAATTATGGTATAACCCTAAGGAACTAGTATAGATGTTGTTGTTTTTTTGCTGTAGGTCTAAGGAGGCTGCAATGATAGGTTTTGGGTTTCCAGGGCGATTGAAAACTTCTCTGCCATTTGACCATGGGCTACGTGGTCTTAATAGTAAATGTACCCCTGCAAGACTAAAGGTTGGCCAGACAAAAATGTGTTAGGCATGGGCCTCTGTGTAGGAAACCCCCTTATCATTAGCATAGTCATCATTTCCTGGTCTTACTGTTGCCCATATCATCACTAAGACGGACTTCTAGGATTGCTAGTACAGAGTGATGCGCATGGGGTGTTTAAACTCTGCCCAAGCTGCATACCGAGGAACATGGCGGCTATCAACACGAAGTCCCCGATCCCAAGCTGAACCTTTGAATTCTGGGACTTAGGGCTCTGTGATCCAGTTTAGGATCATTGGCATGTTTTCTACCCAGGAAGAAAGGGAAACCATGGTTCTTGACCTTGACTGAACCTAGGAGGCGAAGCAAGACGCTCGAGCCTACTGGCAATCCTTCGACACTTCGACACCGCATTGCACAGAAGAGACAGACTGGGTCAAGTACGCAGATCCTGACGAGGGCCAATTCTGGTTCCACAACAGCAAGACTGATGAGTGCTTTCTCGAGGAGAATGCTGCAGCGAGTGGCTGGGAACGAAGGGAAAGTAAAATGGGACCGTGGTGGCACCATGAGAGCACGGAGAGGTGGTTCTTTGAGAAGGCTGCCGAGTAGCGGGTGGGTCTAGGGCTTTAACTTTAAAGTTAGGAAGATGCATGGACATAATGATGTGAGGAACTTACGCGACCCGGGGTTTAGAGTAAACGGTTTGAGTGTAGCATTTATTGTAAGTTTCAGGGCTCAATGTTCTAATTGCGGCTATGGAGCTTTTGGGCTATTATTGTGTGAGGGCTGATCGTACGGAATCGCTATTGAGAAAGATTTCTGATCCTGGAGCGGTAGTCTTTCTTGTTTGCATCATGCAATGGAAATCAAGTTCAATGCCCCCCAGCGTCGGTCTGCGGTGATTTGCAGGTGGACCCTGGCGTGATGACCCCGAACGAAAGCAGCGGAGCACAGTCGGAAAGGCCTCAGGGCGTCAGTGTTTCGGGTGGGTGTGAGGGTTTAGGGCATTAGGGTTTAGGAGTTTGAGGTGGAGGGTTTATAAGTAGGGGTGTCCCTGAACCTTAAACTACGTTTTCTCTCTTCTCTGTTTTGGCTGTGGTGAATGTGTACAAACATATTCGGAGGGTCAGGGGACTTAATAAGTGGATTATGACCTTAAAAATCCTTTTGATAAGCCTAGTTCAATTGTTGGCTTACTTGTTTACTCTGCTTGACCCTCCAAGTAGGTGTAGCTTGTCTCGAGCTGCTAGTCTTTCGCAGGGTGTGTAGAGGAAATCCGAGTCTCATCAATACTCCTAGGTTTCTCCTTTTTTCAACTCAGAGACATCAGAAGACAGTACTTACACCCAGTACCCAGCTGCGGGACAGGTTGCTGTCGAACTGTAGATTTCGAAAGGGTTAGAGTTCTTGTAAAATAGGCCTCGCGGGAGGATGGGAACATAAATTCTTAGCCCTAAACACTTGAAGATTCATGCTGTTGAGTAGCTGGTTGTATGATCATAACGCCAGCGACATGCCCCCCCAAAGTACAGCTGCCTAAGCTATGATTGGCAAGTACTACGTGAAGAGCCTAACCCCTGAAACATTAAATCTGTGATCCCTCCGCAAGGATTGCCGAGCAGAAGCAGGAAGAGGAGATGCGGCAGCAGCAGGAAGTTTGCATATTTCGAGAGCTGAAACGCAAGCATATTCCCATTGTAATCACCATTTTTCACCATTTTTCCTTTGTGATTTGTAAGGGTACCCGTATTACCTGTATTTCGAGCCCGGACCTATAAAGGTGAGATACGGTTCGCAGCCGGGTGGCCTATGTCATGCATTGCTGTGCCAGTTGTTGTTGAAGTTGTATGCTCATAGTGCATGATTAGCCCCAAAAGCACTAGACCCACGAAATAGGGTTTCCACGTTCATCCCACTGAGATTGCATCCTAGCTGTGTAGATTACATTTTGATTCAGGGGCTCTCTCCACAGGCCCTCATTGTATTGAGCATCCCCTGAAAAGTATCGCCGCCCGTGAGGACACGAAGGTCAAAGACTTTTCTGCGGCACTCTTGGACCTGCAACAACAAGAGTCGCCGAGCTTTTCAGCAGTGTTGGAGTTGCAGAAAGCCGTCAGTGAGACCCTGCTCAAAGTCACGAGCGCGACGGTCGCACAGGAGCAGGAAGGAAGAAAGGCAATCAAGGCCCAGCTTGAAGACGTACGCGCTCAGTTGGAAAAGGAGAAAGTTGCCAGAGAAGCCGTGGAGTCAAAGCTTAAAGACGCCCTTGTTGAGTCTGGGTTGCTGTTAAGGCACTTAAATGAAGTTACTATACTGGGGAAACCCTATTATTTACCATATATACCCATTATGGTAACTTAATTCAAGTTCCTCAACAGCAACCCAGGAGTTGGAAAATGAGCGGCTTGAGAAGGAGGCCGCTGAGTGCAAGCTCGAGCACAGTCTCGCCAAACTGGAGAAGGAGGCTCTTGAAACAAGCCCAATGTTAGGGATCCTTCATACTTTTTGGGGTATGGGGGGTCCTTACATTTATGTAAAAAGGATCCCTTTTTTCTCCCTAGGGTAATGTAAACCCTAAACCCTAAACCCTAAGCTAAGGAAAGGGATTCCAAGCTCAATGACACGCTTGCCGAGTTGGGGAGGGAACGGGAGCAGCGAGAAGCTGCCGAGAAGCGGCTTTCTGACTCTAGGTTTAGGGTTTAGTTTAGGGAGTAGTATCCTTTTGCCCTTTTTATTTTGGGTCTCCTTATTAAAGCTGAATAGTAGGAAAAAGGGTACCCTTATTATTAATGGGTTACTGGAGAACCTAGGACATGGAGGTGCAGAAGCACAATGCGCATCATGGTGCATGCTGGCAGTATGACATGGACGGCCACTGGCATGCATTCCCACCAGAGGGGAACGATCAGATGCATCAGGCTTATCTGGCATACATCAAGGACGGGCGATGCTTCTCCGCAAAGATTGTCGCTGGCGGAGTTGAGCGTGTAGTTGACTTTAAGGCCATGACCCAGATGCATAAGTCCACCTGGAAAGTTCGGAAAGTTCGCATTGTTGCAGGTGTTCCTCCACAATGGGCAAGTACCCCGGCAGCTCTGTTGACACAGCGTGACGATCTGTCTTCCTTCTATGTTGAGGTTACGGATGCACGGGTGCATGAGTGGGTCAGTCGCATTCTGCGATCGACGGGTCATGCATGGGATGTATCGACCGTTTGCTCCCACATGAAGAAAGCCACCATCAAGTCTGTGCATCGAATTGAGAACTTTCAGCTTTGGCACCGATACCAAGCAAGGCTAACTGCCATGAGAGAAGATCAGGCAAAATACAATGTTTCTGTACGGCCGGCCCCTGTTGATCTTGATGGCATTGAAGGCACAATGGGTCTTAGCCAGTCTCATTTGGACTGTGGCGAACCATTGGCTCGCGATGTAGATGAGAAGATTTTGTTGCATGGAACGTCCTATCTCAATGCCGACTCTATCGTCATGCATGGCTTCGATCATCGCACCTGTATGCGCGGGATGTACGGAGATGGGGTTTACTTTGCTGGTGCTGCGTGCAAGAGTCATCAGTACTCTTGCGGGGTTCACACTGGCAACGCCTCTAGTACATGCAAGTGTGAGAGGACGTTGATCATTGCCCGCGTTGCGCTGGGTGACGCATACTACGCACGCAGTACTCGACAGGGTGTACGAAGGCCCCCTGGCAGAATTTCCGCAGCCGGCACGCATAGTGCTGTCGTGGTCAACCCAGGACCAATTATCGGACACCATGCTCAGCATCAAACTCATCAGGAGTTTGTTGTTTTTGATCGCGAACAAGCGTATCCCGCTTTTGTGGTGCAGTACCTTCCGTGAAAATGTGCGGCTCTTCTGCAGATTTCAACTCTAGGGTGTCTTTGGCTGCAAGGGCTGTTCCATTGTGGGTATTATTTACTACTATTATCTGTCTGTATTATTAATATTCCTGCTGATGCTACTATTAGTTTTGTATTCTCATTGCTATTACTACTAGCTTCCCTATCACTCTTGCAGCAGGTCTAGGGTTCAGGTGGTTTGCGCTTGCAGCTTCAGCGGCCTGGGCAATTGTTTTCGAGCGTTTCAGCCTCTTTTAGTGTCCGGGGCTTAGGTTTAGGGTTCAGGGTGTACGAACTTATATCTTTGGCACTGTCAACAAAACCCTAAACCCCTAAACCCTAAACCCTAAACCATTGTCAACAACCTAACTTACAGTTGCACTCTCATTCCTACAATACTAACGAACGGCCATGACACGCCAAGTCAGGAGTCCTGTTGAGGTAAATATGGTAGTTTCGCACGGTTTAGGGGTTTAGGGTTTAGGGTGGACCCCAATATAGACCCCCAAATACTATAATCCTTATTATTGGGACCCCCAAAATGGTACCCCTAATTTTGGAAAACCCCCCATATTGGTGGCCTGGACATCTGTTCAAGAGGGTGTCTCAACATGTGTCTGGGTCCCTCGGAGGTGAACTTGATGAGGGTCCTAGGGTTGCGAGAGGTAAACAGGTAAGTCTACTTGGGGATATGAAAGGTATAACTGGAATATGATTAGCTAGAATCCTTGAACCCCATAGACCACCAAGCACACATAAACCTACCTACTTGTTTCATAAATCATGTTTACCGGTTCATGGGTCGGTGATGCTTAGCTGGGCGCTGCAGGTACGCCTTTCAGCCCCCAACCCCCCAAAACATGAAACCTAAATCCCTCCACCCTAAACCCTCAACCCTAAACAGGCAAAAAGCTTGCCCAAGAGATTTATCAGGTTCAGGGGACTCAGCGGGTCGCAGTTTCAGCCGTGACGAAGGAACCAGCTAGGGATGTGGGGCTTGATGTGGTAAGTCGGGATTTAGGATGTGAATGTGTGTTTGGATTTAATGCGTCAGGATGTAGATTTCAGGGTTCTAGAAAGCCCCAAAGATGACGTGCATAGCCCCAGGCGACCGTCAATATTCCTCCGACATGTCCTATCAAGTCCTAATCCCAACTCATAGTCCGCCTAGGGATCAGGGTTTAGGGTTCCTAGACCCTAAGCCCTAAACCCTAATTAAGCCCTACCTTGACCGAAAAGTCCTAAACCCTGAAACCCTGGGCCTGACGTTGTCCGAAATCCTTGAAAGGTGAGAAATTGAGGGGCCTCCTTGGAGGTTCACGGGACATAAACACTTGCTAAGTCCCATGAACTTCCAATTAAACAATTACCGGACCATACTAAGGGATAATGGAGAATCATATGAAAGAGACGATGGGAATCCTTCTGCAGCTATGGCATAACATACTTCAAAGCGACCTAAAATGATAGTGGCAATTATTCAGGCCCGGGCATTGTGCAGGGTTGGGCTGGGCACTTGGCTGTTCCTAGTGAAAACTGTACATGAAGTTGAAACCCAATCGTTCCCAGAACCAGCATTTATGTTAAAGGTACACAGGTAAGGTAAAAACCAATACCCAGACCCCTGGGAGGATCTAAAAATTAGATCCCCCATATAGACCCATTATAACCCTTATATAATCCCTACATTTTTCCCATATGGTTCTAGGGGATCTAATTTTAGATTCTCTTAGGGGTCTGGGTAGTGATGGCAAAGAATCCTTCGGGTCTGCTAGCTTTACAGACAGGAGCTTCGCTGTGCAATCTACTTGCTCAGACAGCGACAGAGCTAGGATCTAGATGAAGTTGCTGCCGTGCCCTAAACCCAGGGATGTAATCCCCTCCCTCTGATATTTGACCTCCACACCCCCCTAGTATTCAATACTCCCATTATGTGGTATAATACTATATATACATGGAGTGTGTAATATTGGGGGGGAGGTTTAACCTAAACCCTAAACCCTAAACCTGAATATTAGGGGATTAATCTGGAAGCTTGAACACTTTTGCGATGCTTGCCTATCCTTGTCTAGCTTGCGACTATGCATAAAACTATACCCGCCCAAAACATGCTCCAACTGTTCAGGCTTTTATATTGCGTATGTGACGCTGGCTTCCATGAAGTGCCCTTGATGGAGGAAGCCCTTGCCCCAAACTCATTCTTTGATGAGTTTTGGTGGGTTGTGATCAGTTAGGTTCAAGCTTCTGGGAGTTCCTCAACAGAATATCCAAAAGGGACCCTTTTATCAGATCCTATCGTCTCCCATAACCTGAGGAATGTGTACCTATAAGGTCCCTCAGTCCACCCAGATTTTCTGAAGTCCCTAACCCAAACCCTAAACCCCCTAAACCCTAACCGGAGGACCTCCCTCCCTTTTATAGTGCTATCATAGGAATAACATAGGTCCTTAATATACTACTGGGTGGGGGATTCCACCTAACCCAAACCCTAAGCCGTAAACGACTGTTGGGAGCTGAGTCTCCGTACCAGGGCTTCATGGAGTAAGAAAGCGATTGGGGTGTACGGCGTGGGGTTGGGGGATTAGGCCCGTGAACCTCGAGCCTTAAATCCTGATGGTGGAGCCCTATGCAACCCAACCTATCATAAAGCCTCCAAGTTCTCAAAACTATATATGAATATGTAAGCCTTAACCCCTGAAACCCAGTCCTTGTGTTACTAAGTGCAAAGGACCTCCCAGTACCAGCCCTTGGACCTAAATCCCTAAACCTCAATTTCTAAACCCTACACGTCAATCCTTTTATCCACAATACCATGGACCTCCAGGATAGGCCTAGCCTTTGACCCTAGACCTTAAGCCCTAAACTCCAAACCATAAACCCTTGCCTTTTAACAACTTTGGTTTGAGGTTCAGGCTGTCACCTCCCTCCCACGAATCCTTGTGTGTCCCGGAATCCGTCCTTGTGTGAAAGGGTTACCTTAAGCCCTGACCCCCTCCGTGCATTGGGTTACCTCAAGTCCTTGTGGGCAGGGGGGCCGTATTGGCTTTGATGATGTGGAGCTTCAGAAGGAAAGATTCGGATTCCTCCATCAGTGGTATCAGGGACTGTCAGTGGTGCTTCACTCCATAGCACATCGTGGCAGTCTGGGTAAGCAGGCATCCTGGATGTGTTGAGGGAGGATTTAAACCCTAAACGCTAAACTCTTGATTCTCCAAGCCCTTCGGGTCCATTGGTTGCTCGTGCGCGGTATCGTTTGGGCACGGTCTTGTTGGGTTAGGGTTCAGGGCCTGTTGCCCGTATTTTGGCTGGGGATCTTAAGGCGTATCATATTCGGATACCACCATGCCATAAAGAAGCAATTTCCAAAAGGAGGGCTGGTGGATATGGCGATGGCTATGGCATGATAGGAAGACTATGAGCCCCCTTTAGTTTGTATGAGCCATAGTCTAAACTCGTAGTATCCCCCTGAATAACCCCCTTTTGTAGTCCCGTATATAATCCCTTACATATAGAGATTGTTTTCAGTGGGACTGAGTTGCACCCTTTCATTGTCGAAGAGAGCTTGCCTTGGGCGAAAACCTGCGCCCAAAACCCCAAACCTGAAGCCCTTGATCTGAAACTTACGATTTGGGGTATAGGGTTAAGGGTTTACGGTTTAGGGTCTGTGGTTTAGAGTTTGGGGTTCAGGGTTTAGGGTTTAAGTTTTTTTGGGTTTAGGGTTTAGGGAAGGAGAAAATCTTGCACGACTTAGTACTCCCAAGGTATTGTAAGCACCATGATTTGGGGTATCTAGGGTGGTGCAAGATGTTTTCCCCATCCACAGGAGCAACCCAGATCCTACACTCCTAAACCCCTAACCTAGGGTTATTAACAGGCAAGGTAATCTATCCATGAAGAGTTACAGTAGGGTTCTAATGGGGGTTAATCCGGGAAAGTCATAGGTAAACAAACTCCATAACTCCAGTGTCCCTCAATGTAAACCCTAAACCCCTAAATCCCTAAACCTTAAACCCCTAAACCCTTAAACCCTAATCCTAATGATTATGGCCAAATCCCTAAATCCCTAAACCCTAATCCCTAAAGCCTTATCCTCCTGGAGCAGCACCATCAGACGCGTCTCGAGTTTCCCAAGGATCTTGGAGGTCAGGAGAAAGCTTGCTGGGGTAAACCCTAACCCCCTAAAGCCTAAACCCTAAGCCCTAAACCTTAAACCCTAAATCCCTAAACCCTAATCCTTGAATCGTTAAACCCTAAATCAGAAACCCTAAATCCTAAACCAACCCCTCAAATTCTCGGCGCCTATCATTCCAAGACTGTCTTTCCTTTTGCTTCGAGATACCATCGGGGGGACCCTCCTCCTAAAACCCAAATGTGGGTTCCCAAAATTAGGGGTACCTTTTTTGGGGGCCCCTAGAATAAGGACTATAGTATTTGGGTCTATATCGGGGTCCCCCAAGTCTTGGGGAAATTACCAAATGTCCCTGATATACCTCGTTGTCGAGAAATCTGCATGGGGTTCTTAGACCATGGACCTCCAGGAGCCCAGAAAAGGGGATTCTTCTGCCGGGGGAGCGTGTAACCCCAGAGGGGACGTTCGCAAAAGTGAATGTTACTCTCTGTGCAGCTTATGCACAGTTCCGCAGAGACCAGGGTCGAAATTGGCGTTCTAGGGTTTCGGGTTTAGGATTTAGGAGAGAGTCTGCTGAAGCTATGCTGGAGTATCCAGAGGTCCATGTTCGAGAGAACTTATCATAGTTGTTTTTCTTCATTTTTCTCGGGGCCACATATTCACGAAACGAAATCTCAGAACATCTGAGCTATAGTCTAAACTCCTTCAAGGGGGTGACATAGGGGATTAAATAGGGGAGCATTATAGGGCTTATTAGGGGGGATGCTAGGAGTTTGGACTAAAGCTCATTTGTATACAAGAAGATTGAGTGCAAGCAGGTCTGAAGCCAACTAAAACTCCGATTTTTGTTTCGCATGGGGGTAGTTTGCAAGATGAAGTTCTTCTTCGGTTTCCTCTGAGGTTATTGGATGCCGCACAAGAATAGGTATCTCGAAAGGGTCCAGCCTTTTGAGAATAGCCTGCTAGACCCTAATGCCTAAAAACCCAGGCCATTTCGACTCTGATTTCCGTATTATTTCCAGCTGTCCATTGCCGGTCCTCGAGGTTTTTCATCCGGGGCTCTGGGGCTCCATCTATATGAACTATAGTCTAAACTCCTTAAAGGCTATTATATAGTGGTTCTATAGGGATAATGGAAAAGAAAATGGAAATTACTATTTAGGGTTTAGGGTTTATAGCTTATAGTGTAAACTCCTGAAAGGGGGGATATATAGGGGATTATTATAGGGGAGTACTATAGGGGATATTAAGGGGGATACTAGGACTTTAGACTACAGCTCATATGGGTTTGGCCACAACCCAAGGCCTACGTGGTTACTTTGACGGGTGTTTTTCCCATGAGTACTTCCCCTAAACCCTACTTGGAGGGTGGGGACTTAGTAAGTAGGCTAAGAATAACCCCCCATAACCCATATCATAACTCTGCTTGCCTCCGTTATTTACCTACTTATTCCGTCCCCTGACCCTCCAAGCCCTCAACCCTAAACCCTAAACATACTTCTACACCTAAGTTGCAACTCCAGGCGAGATCCCCATAAACTGCTAGCCATGAAAATAGCGAGGTTATGTTTCCGGGCTGTACAGGGTTTAGGCTAGACATAGCCAAGTAGCCAAGCCCCTTCAAGCTACATCCTAATCTTACAGGATCTGTAGGCACCCTAGGATATCAGTTATGAAAGGTTCCTATGCTGGCCTGATTCAGCAGAACTAGGAAACCTTCGGCATTTTGCCGACACCCAACCTGACCCTATCCGCTAAACGCTACCCCTAAACCCTACAATATTTCCTACAGAATCATTGGGCTCGCAATTAGGGTTTAGAGCCTAGCTACAAGGGGGAACCCTGTCTACCATTAAGGGTCCCTTAAGAAGGCTAATATTGACAGTAGCTCATATCGAGTCGTGAAGTTAGCTTGGGAACGGAGGCTGGAACGCTTAGGGTCTATGGCTTAACCGAAAAGACTGCTACGAGTAACCACAGAAATTGGGACGGGGGCATTGTATTTGGAGTAAAGCCTAAGCCCTGTCACGGTTTAGGGGCTGGGGCTTAGGGTCTGAAGGTCTCGGGTTCGGGGCCTAAGGTCACAACGCAAGGTCAAGTACATATCCCTATATAAACACAGCCTCCGAGTCATGTTCCAGTTGCTCGTCCATCTTAGTCTTCTTTCCTACTCAAAGCCTGAGCACTAAACTCGAAACCCTACACCTATTAGCTTCCAGTTGTTTTTTCCAGCCCCATGCCCAATCAGTTGGTAAAATCCGTCGAACCCACAGCTATGCGCCCTGATAGAATGCCGGCTTCCATTTTTTAAGAAAGTCAATTTGACCATTGCAGCCCTGTATAATTCCTACATACCTCATAAGTGACAGCCGACAAGATGAAACCCTTCTTTTCGATAATACCAAGACCTAAACCCCAAACCCTAAACCCTAAAATTTCAACCTTCTACACCCCAAGGCTCCTAAATCCCAAGCCTTAAATCCTAAGGCCCAGAAGGACTAAATCTGAAGCCCCCTAAACCCCAACCTCGAAAACCCTAAGCCCTGAGCCCCTAAACCCTCAACCTTCTGAACCCTAAGCCTTACCTCCTACGCCCCATAAGCCCTAAGCCCCAAACCTTTGCCTCCCTGAACCCAAGCCCTGCAAGTAAAATGGGTAGTTCCTTAGGTCAATCCCCCCTATAGTAATGGCTCCTTAATATGGAGTTACTAGGGCCTTAATATACCTACAAGAGTCCCTTGTGGTACCCATTACTAGGTGGGGGATTGACCCAAGTAGTTCCCAAAGTGAAGGTCCCATTTTGGTACCCCTATATATTGGGTGCTGTAATAGAATCTACAACCCAAAGGGGCCCTATAACTTTTTGAGAATACTTTAAACCCTAAGCCCTAATCCACAATTTTGAGGATACCCTAAACCCTAAACTTCCCTAAACCCTAATTTTGAGGATAACCCAAATGGTAGTTTCCCTAAATCGGGGGACCCCAGTATAGACCCCAAAATACTGTAGTCCTTATCATAGGGACCCCCAAAATGGTACCCCTAATTTTGGGAAACCCCTATTTGGGTTTTAGATTTTAGGAGGAGGGTTTGGGAATACCCTAAACCCTAAACCCCAAACCCTAAATCCTAAACCCTAAACCCTAAGCCCGAAACCCTAAACCCTAACCCAAATCAGTCAAGCGTTGAGCCCCCGGATTCCCGAGTTGATCAGCAATGGATGCTTTGGCCCAGGGCTCGAAAGACTGTTCAGGATTTAGGGGTATTCTCAAACCCTCCTCCTAACACCCAAATAGGGGTTTGCCCAAATTAGGGGTACACCGACAAAGCGGTCTCCCGAGAGGGCTTGGGCAACATGGTGCACCATTCGTCGCTCTTCGCGGTTTCGACTCTTTCCTGCAGTGCATGCGCTTCTGGAGGAACCCTGCAAGCAAAACCTCTATCTCGGAAGCAGCAGGAAAGGCTTCCCAGAAGGCCGACAGGTTCTCGAGGGCTAGGTGGACTACCAGATGCAGGAGACCGGCCATCAGGAGCATTCGGAATCTCCCCAGAGGATGAGCTGGTCCGCAACCAATCGAGGAACGATTTCTCCCAGCATATCGGACAGATCTTCGGGTCTAAGCTCAGCGTGAAGGAGGAAGCTCAAATGGAGTGGACTTACTGCGGACACGGAACCGAACAGGCCCAAACACAGGTGGCTCCTTAACCTCAGCTTGGGAGCTGGGACTGCAGATGGCCCTTCAGGGAGGCCCTGTGCTTGCTCATGAATTTGCGCAGCTGTCAGACCTGCAGGTGGTGCAACCTCAGACGGTGTAGGAAAATCCCCGGCAACTGATACTTCCCGACAAAGGTGCTACGGTTCTGGCCACCTGTACTGGGGTCCCCCTATTCAGGGAAACTACCATTTGGGTTAGGAAGGTTTAGGGCGTAGGATTTAGGGTTTAGGATTTGGGGCTTAGGATTTTGATGAATTCCGGTGCTTTGCAGCCTGAAGGCTCAGGTGTATGACAGAGTCAGCATCGCATAGCTAATCACAGCATCGCATCAATCACGTCCTGAGAAAAGAACCAGTCTTTGCATGCCATGGCCGAAGGTGACCCTTTCATGTCTCCCGAGAGCACTTCTGCTCGTCAGGTGATGAGCCCAAATGTTGCCACTGGTGCAGCACTTCTGGAAGGTGAGCAGCTGGGCCCGAACTATGGGGCAGTGGATGCGACTAGGTATGAAGCTGGTTTGGCGAATGGTGTTCGACCGGAGACACGGTCTGATACGACAGGCCGTCCTGAAGGCAGCAACGTTTTTCCGAGAAGGAGTTCTTTGGATGCCTCTGGGCGAGTGGGTCTGGAATCGCAAGACAGGTCTTCCGGATCGGACGCGGCGACGTTTTCAGCCGGACTGGGCGCGCGAACGGCCGTCATAGGGAGCGAAGCTAGAGTAGAGCCTAGCCCCCAAACAAAGGTCCCCAGTAGAAGTTGAAACCTCGCAGCTCCAGCAGACACCACCTCCACAGCTTCATGTGTCACCTTTGCAAGGCATACAGCATTCGGCAGCACAGCCTCAGCAGCCAGAGCAAGCCTTTCAAGTTCTAGAAGGGCTAGCACAAACCCAAAGCACTTCTTCAGTGCCTTCTCCTTCGACATATCCTGATCCTCAACAGATGCCTCCTCCTTCCCAGGTGATGCGATCGTGGACAACACAGATGGCATCTGCGGCAACGGCTGTGAGTCAGAGGATTCAGTTTCAGTCGATGTTTGGACAAGGCCATTTAGAAGTACCCGGCGGTGAAGTTCTTGGTCAAGGTTTAAGGGGACCTGGTTTCGGAGTCGAGGGCCAGGGCATGGAGTTTAATTTTCAAGGAGATCCTCCCCCCTTACCACTTCATCTGCAGCAAGATCAAGGGCAAGACTATATGAGGCCAGGGGTGTTTGCGGGTTTGGCAAGAGCTGGCCAAGCTTTGAGGAGGCGTGTGATGGATCCAGTCTTGCAGCATGTGACAAGGGCATCTCCAGCTCAGCCTTCCATGACTTCGCATACGGCAGAGAATAATGCTCAAGGAGGTCGTCAAACTTCAGCTCAAGGTGGGGTGTTTCCTCCGACAGTCGCTGAGGCTATGAACGCCTGGACGGCGAGACCCTCCTTGATCGCACCTAGCCAGTCTGGGCCGCCTCCGCTCAGAGACGAGAGTTCGACAAGCAGCCTGTCTCCTGAGAGGGTTATGGAGGAGGTCAAAAGACAAGTTCAGTTGGCAATGGCAGACAAGGACACAGAGCTCAAAGAGCTCAGGCAGCAGAACGTTTTGCTGCATAGAGCTCTTCAGGCATCTTCAAGACTTCATGGCGGGGATGAAGGGCATGAACAAAGGATTTCCTTGGAAGGGTCAAGTGGAGGAGCAGGCAATGAACCTGGTCCCAATCCGCTGGCATGGACTTCCAATGTTCTTAGTCCTCAAGAAGATCCACGCCTTTTATATGGGAGTGCTGGAGTATCAAGCGGCAATCCTCCTGGCGCAGGAGAACTTCTAACTGTTCCTGCAGGTGGGCTAGGTGGGCGGCTTGACCGTGGTGTTCTTGACGATAGAAGGCCGGACCCCAGGAGCCAAGCTTCTGAGTCACAGTCAGGCCCTATGCGAAGAGGCGCTGCGGATACAAGCACATCTGCAGATGAGCCCCTGCAGCTGTTAGTGCAGGGTATGCGTCAGCTGCAGCAGGCCTATATGGGCAAGAATGACTCCAAGGACGTGGAGTTCAAGGGATCGATAGAGGTCCCACCAATGCCAGACGTTGGGGCTGAGGCCTCAGTGGCTTTTGCAGATTGGTTGTACGAGCTGGAGCAGGCAGTGGGCGCATTATCCGACAAGGCCTCGGTTTGGTTCACAGCTTGTTTGGACGTGGCTCGGCAGGCGTACCTGGAGTACACAATGGCTTCTCCTTTGACGAGAATTTCCTTGCAGCCAAGGATCCCTGAGTCTTTGAAGGACCCAAAATGGGCTAGGCTGGATAGACGTGTCATGACTTTGTTGCTGGGGGCAATGAAGCGACCGGCCAAAGAAGATGCCATAACCCACCGAATAGGAGACGTTCCGTCTCTACTGTTCCGGCTTCATGTGCTATATCAACCTGGCGGCACTTCGGAGCGTGCAGCAGTTCTGAAGCACCTAGAGGGCAAGCTCGGAGGGGATGATGTGCATGAGTGCGTGGCTGCGCTAAGAAAATGGCGTAGGTATCTGGAAAGAGCTGAATCCATGCATGTTACGGTGCCGGACCCTTCAATCCTTCTTGGAGCAGTAGAGCTGATGGTGAAGAAAGTGATGACTCAGTATCCGGAGGTAAAGTTTCGCACCGACCTCATGAAGAACGAGCTTCAACTTCAGGGCCGCCCTACTTTAGAAGGAGTGCTTCGCCTACACACGCACATCCTTGCGGAGTTACAGATGGTGGCTCCTGTCTCCTCGAGTTCCCTTACGACCACTCTCAAGGCCATTGGCACGGGACAGGCTGGTACTGGCGAGGCTTCTTCAGCCCCGAGTTCTCCAAATAGGAAGGGAGGGAGCAAGGCTCCGTGCAAGTTCTTCCTTTCCAAGAGTGGATGTTCGCGAGGGTCCGGCTGCAAGTTCGAGCATGTGTTTGAGTCCCGCGAGGATAAGAAGACCAGGTGCTGGGAATGTGGTAGTCAGGGCCATAGAAAGGGAGAGTGTCCGGTAGCTGCTAAGTTAGGTAAGAACCTCAAGAACGCCAATAAACCGGAAGCCCTAGCTACATACGTTCCTACACCCGGTGCTTCTTCAACTCAGCCTCAGCCAGTTTCTTTGCAGCAGCAGTCTTTACTGGAGTCCATTCAGACGGCATCGGCATCATCTTCAGCAGCTACTACAAGTAATCCTGCTTCATCGTCTTTGCCTGCGCCTGAGGGTCAAGGAGCTTCTGAAGGAGGCCAATGCCATGCTGAGCAAGTTGACTAAGTTGCAAGCCTTGGAGGTTCAGACCAATCATAGCGTGGGTGAGCTCACTGCTGCGATAAGAGCTGCTGGACTTGAAGGAGAAGAGGGATTCGCTCTTCTAGATACGGGGGCATCTCATGCTTTCAAGACGGCAGACCGAGCCGATGTGGACCAAGCTCATCCGGTGAGAGTGGAGCTGGCTGGAGGCCAGTATGTGACGCTCAAACAAAACAAGGCTGGAACCTTGCTAGCTGCTGCGGACGACCCAGGAGCTGCCAACGCATCACCGATCCTGCCTCTGGGGGCCTTGGTGCAGAAGCTGGGGTGTGAGCTGACATGGACACGTAAAGGTGGCTTGAAGGTCATCCACCCTCAGTTTGGTGTGCTTAGGACCTTTGTCAAGGGCAACCACCCGATGTTAGCAGAGACTCAAGCCCTGGAAATCATAGCACAGCTAGAAGAGCAGCAGCTTAAGGCGTTGGAAGGTTCCACTGCAGAGACGTTTATCCGGTCTTTGGATTATGAGGAGATGAAGTCCTGGGATTTCATGCTGGGCAAGTTTGTGGCTACTGGAGGGCGTGATTGCCTGCTAGATGCTTTGTGCTCCCCAAGTTCTCCTCTTGGACACCTTCCCCAACATGTTCTTGCGCTGGCAGCTGTTCAAGTTGGACTGGATGATAAGCAGGGTTGGAAGTACCTCAAGGCCCTCCCGCTGAACAGAAAGACTCGCAAGGCGATGATGACGAAGCGTTGGATTGTCCGACTTTATCGGCGAGAAGGAGAAGCAGATCTACAAGTTCGCAACTCGGAGAATGCTGTGACTGTGGACTGTAATGTGGCCAGGAGCAAGAGGTTCTCCATGAAGGGTGATAGTGCAACTTACAAGGCGCTCATGTGGGCGGCGGCTAGGGGCCAGCTAGAAGGCGTGCTTGGCAGTCCACCTGTGAACGACGCTGGCGAGCTCTTGGCCAAACAGCTCTTGATCTGGACGGTCGCTCGCCAAGGCTCCTCCATGCATGGTTTCTTGCCTCCGTACCTGCTTCTTGGATCCACTCCTGCCAGTTCAATGTGGAGGTCCGAAATGTGGGAGACCTTTAGGCAAGAGTATCACCTGCCTATGATGCAGGTGGAATCTCAGGAGGACGGTGCGAACTACTTGGTTGCCACGAACCTTGCAATGAAGGGTGGTCTGTTGGCTTCGGATAGTGTTGAGGTTCCGGAGGGTTTGACTACAAGGGCATGGCCGAACATTTGGAAGCTTCCCTTTCAGTATGAGGTCGGTTTGGCAGTTGATCGTTGGCGTCTTCGACCTGATGAGATGTTTCTTGGATACATGCTGCACAAACTAGATTCGGAAGCTCCTTGGTCAGAAAAGGACCTTCGTTACTGGAGGCGGCGCATAGCCAATGGGCACCTGCCTTTTGACAGGCGTTGCAGGACCTGCATCCAGACTGCGGCAACGGGGAGGGCCCACAGAAGGGTCATAGCTCCATCGTGTTACACGTTATCTTTGGACGTTTGTGGACCTTTCCGAAAGAAAGGTGAGTATGGTGGCTCCAGGGGATTCAGATATGCCCTGATTGGGACGTACCTGATGCCTAAGCTCACGACCTACAAGGATGTCCCCATACCTGAAGAACCTGACCTTTCTTTGGATGTAGAATCTCCAGAGGAAGATTTTCTTGAAGAACAAGGCCCCGCAGATCCTCCTGTGGAACCTGCTGATCAAGAAGACTTGGACAAGTCCAATGAGAAGTTCCAGGCCTTGTATAAGGAGATTGGGGATACCATGGAGTACCAGACACTTCATTATGCGGTTCCGCTAAAAACTCGGTTGATGCCAGAGGTTGAGGATGCAGTGAAGCATATCTACCTCCAGATAAGATCTGAAGGGCTGCCAGTCACTCGGGTACACTCTGACCGAGCTCGAGAGCTTCGAGGTGGTAAGCTTCGCGCGTGGTTGTTGCATAGAGATGTGCTTCCTACTACAGGGGAGGCTCAGGCACCGCAAACCAATGGGCGAGCGGAAGCAGGCGTCAAGCGCGCCAAGGTTCGTACAAAAACTCTTTTGAGGACAGCGGGCTAGGATGCATGCTGTTGGCCCTTTGCTATGACGTTTGCAGCTTTTCAGCAGCGTGAAGGCGCCCTAGGCAGAGCTGGAGGCATAATACCCTTTGGGTCGCCGGTGTTGGTCAAGAATAAGGTCTATGGGACTGGAGGTCATTTTGATCTTGATGATCGATGGCAAGGTGGCGTTTATGTGGGCCCGTCACATGAGCTTAGACAAGGGCATGTGGTTAGATTTCCATCTGGCAGGATCGTCACTTCGCTGCATCTTCGGTCAAACTTTGAGGATCCAGATGCTGCGATATCCCTGCCTCCTGTTGAAGCTCGCTTTCCTCCCCCAAACAAGAGGATCATTGGTAAACGCTCATTGGAACCCCATGAAGAACGGCGTCATGAAAACCCTCCTGAATCCCGTGAAGTTCCTCCAGACCATGGAGATCCACCAGGGCATAGCATAGGTCATGAAGAAGCAGCAGGAGTTTGGACAGATGAGGAGGAGCCGTTGCTTGACATCTTCAGTGACGAGGCTCCGCGGCTTATGGCATATACAGCAACAAACCACCCTGAATCCGGTGAAGTTCCTCTAGACCATGGAGATCCACCAGGGCATATTTGGCGTCAAGCATATCCAGCGCTTAGAGCCTTGAAGCCTTTATCAGAACCTGAGCGTAGAGCCGAGGAACTTGCCGAGTCTTACCTGAAGGCTGGAATCATGGGTACGACCCTTGTGCTTCAGCTGTTTGAGATCTTTGAGGAGGTGCGCCAGTTGTTTTCCAGATCATCTAGAAGGACACCGAAGGAAAGGGCGACGAGCTGGGCGACTGGAGCCTTTACTCATGGTGGTGTGTCTGGGTTGCGTAATGGGGCAAGGAGGCTTCCAAACGTGACTAAGTTCCTGGCAAAGTTTGCACGGGAGTTCATGGGTGCTAAGCAGTTCGCAACGGTGGTGATCCAGCGGAATGGAGGAGGACGAGCTCATAGAGATTTTCACAATCGGCTAGGGTCGAGGAACTGGTTGTGTCCTTTGACTTCTTTTGAAGGCGGAGGTCTTTGGACTCAGCTTGAAGATGGAGAGGTCCTTGCGGATGAGGACGTTGTTGTGACCAAGGAGGTGAAGCCGGGTCATGAGCTTAAGGGCAAGATCATAGAGGCGAGTAAGGGCCAGACCTTTTCCTTTGACCCGATGGGATGGCATGAAGTGCAGGCTCATTCTGGAGAGAGGATCATGGTCATTGCGTATACTCCCAGGCTTTCGAACTTCGATACTGCAGAAGCTGCATATCTGGAGTCCTTGGGTTTTCTTCCCTTTGGTGAGGAGGAGGGGGTTCGTGAACGCGCAAGTTCAACAAGGCGTCATGGCGTTGCTTCTGACTGTGATGACAAGGACAACGTGACTGAAGAGCGCGAGTCAACCCTCCTCACTTTGAACGAGGCCCAGCAGCAACTTCTTGAAGATCTACACGAGCGGAGTCGATCTCTAAGGTTGCTTCTTGAGGAGGAGCAGGCTCTGGCAGAGGATCTGCGACAAGCAGGAGATCTTGTTGAGGAGGAGGCCCAAAGGCTGCAGCAAAGCATTGCGCAAATGCTTCAGCGAGCAGCCGACAGCCTTTCATCTCAAGACCGAGCTGTTCTCAAGGTGTGTTTGAAGGCAGCTGGAGAGGCTGTTGAACCAGACTATGAGCAGCTCCTTGAGTCTTTGGAAGGTGACCTTCAGGTGGTTCATACGGTTCCCCCTTGCACAAGTCAAACCTGTTGTTGAGAGATGGCACAAGGCCATACAAAAGGAGCTGGACAATCTCTTTAAAGGTGGTACTTTGGTGGAGATAGATCGTGAAGAAGCTCTACGTCTAGAACGTGCAGGTGCCCTTCGCTTAGTGCCCAGCAAGGGTGTGCACACGTTGAAACCACCTGGCAGTGAGGATGTGAAGTTCAAGCGGAAATACCGCCTTGTGTTGTGCGGTAATTTCGTGGCTCCTGAGGAACAGTTCGGCTCGCTGTATGCAGGAGGTGCGTCAGCAGAAACGTTTAGAACAGTGCTGGCATCTACGGCCCATAAAGGGTGGCTGGGGGCAGCGGCCGACATAACCGGGGCCTTCCTTCTAGCACCTTGGCCGGGTCACCTTCACCGCTACGCCGTAGTTCCACCACGACTTTTGGTCGACAACAACTACGTCCCTGCAAATACCTTTTGGCTTGTTCTCAGGCCCTTGTACGGCCTCCGTGAGTCGCCTGCGATATGGGCGGCACACCGCTCGGCAAGGTTCTCCAGTGCTCGCATCTTCTACAAGAACAAATACCTGGTTCTGAAGATGTCGAAAGTTGACCCTGAACTGTGGTTTGTTTTCTTTGAAGGTGAAGATGACCTCTTGGGTTGCGTCATAACTTATGTGGACGACCTGTTCTATGTGGCGGAGAGTGAGGTTGTTACGGTGCTTCATACGTGGATCTTAGAAGAGTGGCCTTGCAGTGGACTAGAGTGGGCATCTGCAGCTGAAGGCACCCGCTACTTGGGCATGGAGGTTTCTCAGAGACCCTCAGGCGCATATGAGATCCACCAGAGGGGCTACATTCTCGACCTCCTGCGATCACATGACATGCTTGAAGCTCCTGGAGCTTTGTTGCCGTGCCCAAAGGAATGGGTTTCAGACGATATTTCACCAGAACCTGAAGAATTCTCTGAAGCAGAACTAAGGTTCGGCCAGCGGATGGTTGGTGAACAGCTTTGGCTAACTATGAGAAGCCGTCCGGACCTTCAGTTCATAGTGGGGCATATGGCTCAATGGGTCTCGAGACATCCCCGGAGATTGGCGAGAGTGGCGAAAAGGGTCCTTGCCTACCTGGTTTCGACATTGGACTTAAAGCTTGTCCTTGGCGGCCAAGAACCAAGCAGCAGCATAGCAGCAGCATCCAGCACAGAACGCGCAGCAGCCTGCAGGGTTTCTTCAGAAGTAATGCTTGTAGGTTATAGTGACTCTAGTTTTGCTCCTTATGGCGAAAAGTCCTACGGGGCTTCTGTGGTCACTGTCAACGGTTCTCCTGTTGCGTGGAAGTCTGGAAAACAAGGCATGGTCACGCTTTCAACAATGGAAAGTGAGTTGATGGAAGCCATCAATGCTGCAGTTTTGTTGGAGAGTGTTGGATGTCTGTTGGATGAGATCTGCGGCCGCCGTATAAGACGAGTGCTTCGTGTAGATAACATGTCAGCAACGAGCATGCTTCAGGGTGGGGCTGGGAGTTGGAGAACAAGACATTTGAAGGTCAGAAGCGGGTATCTTCGTGAACAAGTGGCCTCTGGGCTCCTGGAAGTCCATCACACTGAAGGACTCAAGCAGCTGGCTGATCTAGCTACAAAAATGCATCCTCGTGTGCGGCTTCTTGATCTTCTTCGTCAGTGGGGTTTTGAAGGCCTTCCTCCAGAGGACTTATGTGCTCAGATAGCGAGGGCTGTCGCACTTCACTGCATTATAGTTGCTTTGGAGGGACTTCCAGGGGCAAGGGCATCACAAGTACCTCCAGCAAAGGAACCGTTAGCGTCAGCTGGCGTAGATGAGCTCTTGTTGGTGTCTGGGTTGGTAGCTGTTGCGGCTATTTTTCCTGAAGTGCTGCTTCCGGTGCATCAAGCGCTCCATGCGGAAGGAGAGTAAGCTGAAAAGGCTTCGAGAGCTTGCGCGATTAACAGCAGAGCTGGAGATCGATAGGCTGCAGCAGGAACATCAAGTACCTTCTCCTTTGGACATTCAGCAAGCCGTTCAGTCTGCTCTTCGTAGTTTTTCAGAAAGCTCTCCTCAGCCTGAAAGGAGAACGGCGACTAGACAGTTTCCTGGAACACCCCCTCGAGCAAGACCTCAGCCTGCACGAGAAGCATGTTCATCTCAGCTTGAGAGAAATGTGACAGATACTCGAGGTTCTGCCACACCTCCTCGGGCACAGCGTTCAGCAGGGCAAGAAGATGGCTTGTTGAGATGCTCGCCAGGGGGGATGAGCACGACTTCTTCTGTAGATGATGATGTACTTCGCCATTGCAGCCGTGAAAGGCTGTGCAAGGATATGTTGTCTCTTCTTAGTTGTGAGAACTTGAAGCATGGGCTGAGACAGGAACGAATGACCGTTTCTGGCAATAAACCAGAACTGGTAGCAAGGCTGACGCTAAGACTGCTGCCAGATCCCTGCTTTGGGGTCGAGGGCCGAGAGCTGCCGACAGAACGCCAAATGAAGTACGTCTTGTGGCTTTGGAAACATAAGGGACTCCAGTGCAAATGTAATCTTCAGTGGTCGGATGTTGCTACAAAGGCAATGATCTCGGCCTGGATTCATGCTTGGAAAGAGGCATGAGCAGAGTAGAGATTGATGCATGCTTTTGAACCGTCGCTTGGGACAGATGTTTGTCTCTTGAAGATGGGACGACAAGGGGCGTGAAGCCTTCCTTGCACAACGAACGTGGCCCAGTTCCGGAGGATTGGGCCAAGGAGGAGTGATGAATTCCGGTGCTTTGCAGCCTGAAGGCTCAGGTGTATGACAGAGTCAGCATCGCATAGCTAATCACAGCATCGCATCAATCACGTCCTGAGAAAAGAACCAGTCTTTGCATGCCATGGCCGAAGGTGACCCTTTCATGTCTCCCGAGAGCACTTCTGCTCGTCAGATTTAGTGTTTTGGGCTTTAGGGCTTAAGGGCTTAGGATTTAGGGTTTGTGGCTTAGGCTTTAGGGTTTAGTGTTTAGGATTTAGGGCTTAGGATTTAGGGTTGAAAGGGCTGGCTTCAAGGCTTAGGGCTTAGAATTTAGGGTTTAGGGTTTAGGGCGTAGGATTTGGGGTTTGGGGTTCAGGGTAGAAGGCTTAGGGCCTAGGGTTTAGGGCTTAGGGTTTGGGGTTCAGTCAGTTTTTTTTGGATGTAGGATTTTGGGTTCAAGAGCTTTAGGTTTGGGGTTAGGGGTTCTGGGTGGTCTGTTTTACGTTTTTGGGGTTAGGGGTTAGGATTTGGAGTTTGGGGTTGGGGTTTCAGGGTAAATCGGGACTCACAGTCAGAGGGCTTCAGGGTCTGGAAAGCAGGGTTAAAGGTTTAGGGTTTAGGATTTAAGGGGCCAATACGCGTCAGGGTTTAGGGTAAGGGGGGTGTTAAATGTCGCCGCTATTGTGGACCTGAAGCCCTATGCAAATCCCTCTAATACCTCCGAAACTTTTTTCGAGTTAGATAGGCCCTCACTTGGAAGGCCACCGGGACTTAGAAAGACATAAAGAACCATATAGTCCATGTAGTAGCCTTGATTGTTGCCATCATGAACCTACTTCTTAACTGCAAGTACACCTAAACCCTAAACCCTAAACCCAGAGGGTATGATGTGTGTCCTAAACTGCCCCAACGCGTGGCGGCGTAGCTTGATAAAATCCTGATCTTCGATTGAGGGTTGGCTCCAGTTATGTTCACGATTTTGTGTTTTAGGGCTCTTACTAAAGAATAAGGGAATAGAATCGCTAAATAATTCCTATATGCTATATTCTCTCATTCCCTACTAAGAACCAGTAAGGCATTTGAGGGTTCAGGACCTGGAGTTTAGGACAAGGATTCTTTTTTGGGGTGGGTCTATCATTGACATATTACTCACAAATTGGGGTCGTCCCTTTTTGGGAGCCCCTATAATCAGGATTGCTTTTGCTTGGGGTCTATCTCAGAGGCTTGGGGTCTATCTCGGAGCCCCTGTTTATAGAAGATCTCATACTTGAAGGTTCATAGTGACTATGTATGATTGGGCTTATCACCGTACTAACAATTGGGGTAACATACATAAGTCCGTATGACTAGTTACTTAGTACCATGAACTTTCAAGTATCTCTCGATTGGAACATTAGGTTATCGTTCCCGGCCAGTTCTGGACGGCAGGCAGCACACCTGTGGCCATTGCAGGGGCAGATCCCATGTATCTTACCTGCCAGTGCTGCGACATTTGAAGTTTGTACTGGCAGCACATGAGCTCTCTGGATTTCCCACAGGCGCTGAAGACCTCGATGAATACTTGGCAGTAGAATGCCCTAACAATCGTTACACAATTCGAGTAGATTATACCCCCAAGTTGTATTCTGATTGTTTAGACTTTTAGAATATTCTTGGTGAAAGTTAGGGTCTCTCTAGCTGTTGAGAGAGTTCGTTCTCCATCTGGCTCCAAACCTCTAGAAGAATACAGTGTTTGCATGCTTCGCATCGAACCCGCCAGTACGACATGCCTTACTATGTTAGGTAGGGGTTTGTTGTAGTTTTGGTTAGTGTATACCGGGTGACTTAGGAACAGAGCTGCGTGTGTGTATGCGGTGTCTCCTATGGGTCCCCCCTGTTTGAGAAATTTCCATATGAGCTACTGTTAATGTCAGGGTACAAAGCGACCATTAAGAGTGGATATAGGGGTCCCTTTCGTAGCTGAGTATACCTCCGAAGATATAATCTAATGGGTTAAGTAGTTGGGAAATGTCAATCCCTAGAACCCCTATATAGCCCAAATTTCTGTTTGATTTTTCATGATGCTAGTTTTCCTTTTCTTATCCTTTAACTACATGGGAAATTTGGCAGATCATTACCCCTACCCTCAACCCTTAACCTATAGGAAATGTTGACTATAGCTCAAAGGAAATCCTTAAACCCTAAACCCTAAACAGCCTAAACCCTAAACATGTACGCATCGTCAGCCCTTAGCTCCATAAGCGCTAGGGTGGAGGGTTTAGGATTTAGGGTTTGGGGTTGAAGTTCTAGAGTTTCAGGTTTCGGGTTAAGATTTACGGTCTGAAGGTCTAGGGTTTAAGCTTTTGGGTTTAGGGGTGGATGGAAGAAATCTTTCACGTCTCAGGACCCGCAGCCACACAATACTTCAATTTTGTACCGCGTTCGCTATGGAAGGTGGTGCCAGGTTTCTTCCATCCACAATAGGCTGTTGGGTTCGGTGCTATGTTCTCTCATCTGTTTGGTGTTCGATCAAAAATTCCTGGTCCCCAGATGGCCATTTTGAAGAATATGAGTTCTCGTTCTATTTTTATTGACCTACAGGAACCCTATGTAATCTAGCCGAAGGACCTTTAGATCAACCCGTATATGAGCTCTCCATTTATGTGTCTGATAAGCTTCGCGTACAGAGGTGTTAGAAATTGTTTCCAGGTACACAAGTTGATTATCCAAAAGCGTTGTAAGAGGAGAATCTTGGTAGTGGCTTCTACGTTATCCTAACCCCCAAGGGTTCTACCCTAAACCTAGACCTTTACAATCAGCTTGGACAGTTCAGGGCTTGGGTTTACAGGGCTTCGGGGTTCTAGCGCCCAGGATGTCCTTCAGCCCCCCAAAAGGCGCAGAAAAGGGACCAGCTGACCAGCCTGTATATACTGTGAACCCTCAAAACCCCAGCCTAAATCCTAAACCCTGCTTGGAGGGTCAGGGGGACTTTGTAAGCAGGTTTTACCCTATAACCCATGTAATAACGCGACTTATCCCCATTAGTAACCTACTTACTAAGTCTCCCTGATCCCTCAAGCGAAGCCTAAGCGCGTGGAGAAGTCCCGAGAGTTTGCCAAAGAAAGCCAGCTATGGCGTTTTCCCTCCGCCCTCAGACCACAACAGGCAACATGTTAGCACGGCTTTGGGTTTTGGGTTCAACATGGAAGCACTTCAACCCTAAACCCTTAAACCCTAAACCCTCTTAGGGCTTTGGGTTCAACAGTAAAGAACTTCCTGGTTTCTCAGAACATGGTACCGGA